AAAGGGTTTGTTTGTTTTAGAGGACGGCGTTGTAACGTCGAAACTTGTAGAGTCGTCAACTTTTTGAAGGCCATAGATAGGCCTAAATAAAATGTTTTTAATTGTGTACCAGTTTAACGTTGAATATTATTTATGATTTTAACTTTATACACAAGTGCCAAAATACTATAATTAAATTCTGGCTTTTTCAAGTCTTTTAAACACTTCCTTCAAGTTGTGAAGATGCTCCCCTTCATTTAATTTGGTCATTAGGATGTCACCCAAATATAATGTGACATGCAGGATCCCTTGTAACAAATCTTCTATCATCCACTGAAAGATTGCTGGAGATGATGACACACCAAAAGGCAATCAGTTTTATCTGAAAAAGCCTTTGTGGGTATTCAAAGTATCATACTTCTTGGAGTCTTCATCCAGGGTCATTTGCTGGTAAGTAAGTCATTATCCTACTGCTGGGACTGCAAACAAATTTTCAGTCCTAGGGATTGGATATCATTCCAGGTATGACACCCTATTGACTGTTAATTTATAACCTCCACATATTCTCACTGAGCCAGTATGGGAAATATAGGTGCAACACAGTCTGAAAACTTCTCTTTGAGAAAATGGTCAAGTTCATCCTTGATGTTTGGTTTCCTGGTGTATGTAGCTGATTTTGGTTTGAAGAAACACATGGGTCTCTTTGTTTTCAACATATATTTTGGCTGTAGTTCCATGCAAGGTGCTTAATTCTTCTATAAACACTGTTTCATGCATTTCTAGCACTTTATACAGTGTTTGGTGGCTTACTTTTTAAGTGCTGGTTCTCAGTCCAAGGCTAATTCAATTATCCAGCCTCTACCTAGAAGGTTGATTCCTGCACCTGTCAATACTACCAAAGGTAGTTTTTAACTATGTCTTAGTATGTCACTGCTACTTGAGATGCTCCAGGTATGTCTACTATTTCTCCAGTGAAGAGTTTTAGATTAACTGCACATGTTTCAAGCACAGGAACTGCCACATTCCATAATTCTGAACACTCTGCTTGATTAATGATAGTTACATTGTATTCTGTGTCAATCTTAAACTTCGTGTTTTCAACACTTACAGTTTTCATAAGTGTAACAGGTGCCACTTTTGTAATGTCCGTTTCCTTCATACATAGCGTATGCTTCCTTTTCCTCACCTTGCTTTTTATCTTCCTCCTCCCTAAGGTGGAAAGCACCATGAGAGTTTTTGGGCTTGCAGAGGTTAGGTTGTCTTCCTCTTCCTTGTTCAACTTTTGCTTTTCTTCTTCAGCCTTTTTAAAAGAAGTATGGCATTTTTTGTTTATAAATCTGCAGTCCTGTGGGAAAAAATGTTTACCTCCAAATCTGTAGCTCTTTCTCATCATGGACTTTTTCTGTTACTGAACGTTTTGTTTACAGTCACATGTGACCTGTGGGCACTAGACTAACATTGGAGAAATCCTTAAACTGCAGATGTAAATATTTTACATTTCTGTTAGTGGATTCAATAGCTAAACCATTTTTAATGCTTTCTCAAACATTAAATCTACCTTTGAAAACTTGGATTCTGTCATCATTTATACTGCAAACTAGCCTATCTCTCAGCATTTGTGTTAGAATTTCTCCATACCTCTAGTCCTGTGCAAATTTTCTCTAACCTGCCATGTAGTCTACAATAGTTTTTTCAGCTTTTTGGTGCTATGAATTAAATTTGAATCACTGGACTATTTTGTTTGGTTTGGGGTTGAAATGCATTTTCAATAAGTTTACCAGATTTTTGAATGTCTTGTCTTCAGGCCTTTCAGGGCTCAGCAGATTTCTTGTTAATCTATATATCTGAGCATCCACTTAACTTAGTAAGATAGCTTTCTTCTTACCAGTGTCATTAATATCATTAGCCATAAAAAAAGGTGTGAGAACTTCATAATATTCTTTCCAGGTTTATGTTTGGCAGTAAAAGAAGCAACTGTTTCTACCATGCCTGCCATTTTCTTTTCTTTGTATGAACCCACTCAGTAGTACTATTTTCCACTTCAGTTGACAAATGTTTTAATTCTTCTTACTGCCTGGAACATATAGCTTATCAGTTTAAGTTACTTTTATCCTCATTGTCATATGCCATATCCTGACTGATTAACCCAAACAGTTATTCTTTTGTAAGAATGAATTTATATTATGAACACACAACTGAGTACTGGGCAGCCATTTGTTTCATTCTTCCACTCAACATGGTACATGTGGTTGTTCTTTGTACTGGTATCTAGTGGTAAATTCTTAACAATTGTAAAATCCTCAATTTCATATGTTTGTTTTGTTGTAGTTTTGATGCAAGATACATGAATCTGAAAGAGTTTTAATGACCTAAACTTATAGGTGCTGGGTCCAAAATATTAGTGGTCAGTTAACAAATAAATATTGGTTAATATCATTAAAATGAAAACTAAACAAAAAGAAGAAATTAATAGTTAACAAAATATTGATTCTCATTTTTATGATTAATTTTAACAAATTTCTGGAACATGAAAAGAATGAAGACCCTTTAAATTTGCTGGACAGACACCAAAACATTAGTCACTTCTGGTATGAAACAAGCACACTTGCAACTGAGTGTTTTTTATTTCAGTGTATCATGTCTTTCGGGTAAAACGTATAACAAAAATCCATTGGGAAAAAGCAGAATTAACTAACGTGACTTGAAATGTTGTATCTGATGTAATGTTAAGGAAGATGATGATGTCACCACTAACATTACAGTGAGAAGAAAAAAATAGCATTAATGGAGATCAAGGAGGTATAAGAAACTGAAACACGTATGAACATTTTGAAACAAGTTAATATCAAATATACAAAAGCTAATCTTCTTGATGACAGCAACAGTTGACCTTTGTTGTTATGTAGAGTTCTATCATGACTATTCAAATGTGTTAAGTTTAAATAAAGATATGTATTTCTGTAGTTTCATTGTTATGTAGAGTTCTATCATGACTATTCAAAGGTGTTAAGTTTAAATAAAGATATGTATTTCTGTAGTGTCAAATAAACACTGATACATTATCCTTTTAAGTATTCTGATGAAGTTTATGAAGATTTCATAATTGTCTTCTTGATGATTAACAGCAACCAAATGCATGACCACATTTCAATAATAAATTAAAAGTAGGATTTTCAAGACTAAACAACAACTGTTAAATATTTCATAATAAAAGTGATGCTCTTCTGTTGATACTTGTAGTTCTCAGTAAGATTTTAGTTTTAAGTTTTCCTGTGTTTTCAGAAAACAAGTATGAACTAGCTTCTCCTTTGAATGTTGATTAAAAGGAACTAAATCTCTTATTATATTTTCAGTTCCTACTCCTACCCAGGTTTTACATTTAAGGTTCTCATAAATTAATGAATAAAAATTCACTGGCTTCACATTTGCCTTTAACAGAAACAAACCAGATTTTAAGAATGAAACACCACCACCAAGTTTGGTATTGAAATTAATCAAGCCAAGGATTTAAAATAATTTTTTTAAGCAATGAAGGCATAAGTCTTGTTTGAAATTTTAATATACACAACTATGAAAGGATTATAATATCTCTACCTCAACTGTTTTCTATAAAGCTACTTGCTATCTCAAAAAAAAAAACACTTTGAAAATAGTGTTACAGAAACAAGAGTCTCTTAGTAATTTAATTTCAAGTGAAAAAATACCTTTCATGTTTGCGTCCAAGGTTAAAGTTACTGAATTCCTGGAGGAGCTATATCCAGCAACAAACCTATTTTGGCATCTGGCTTACATTTTCCACAGTGTCCCCCACATTTTCCATGAACTAATTGTCCTTCCTAAGTAAAAGTTTTTGTTTCATCTCCTTATTAGTACTTCTATTTAATCAATAAAACAAAGCTCTTGTAGCATAAATTGCCTTTACATAAACAAATAATTCCTTAGTTTTTCAAAATATTGAAAATAAATACCAATCTTTCATTATAATCAAAAGAGGATAAAATGAGTTTAAACATCAAAACAATGATGTTTCTTTTTAGCATTCAAAAATACAAATAACTTCAGATTAAACCAAATAAATGCCAACTTCTCAAAAAATACTACATCATAAAAACACTATAATGTTAATATTTATGTTCAAAATTTTTAGTAAATTAGCAAAATATATGTTACCAAAAAATAAGCTTTCTTAAGAAACAGCAAAAAGAAAGAACTGAGTAAAATTTTAAACCTGATTTATCTTTAGAAAAATTTGAGTGGCAGATTAGTTTCCACTGGTTTTAGAGAGAATTCTTGCCTTACCATAAAAACCAAACTTTTCTTTACACTATAGCAAATGTATCACATTTACACTGCTAGCATGACTGTTGCCAACACATTTATTTAGGTAAGTAAAATAAGTGTATGATATTTAATAAATAAATTTTGGTCTAAACATTTGGATTAGTACTTTTATAAATCACTAAATGTTTTACTTACAAATTGAGGATATACCTTAATGTTATTCAATTAAGAAACTAGCCAGAAATAATGACAATTGGATGTTCACTGAGAGATATCGTGACATTTGAAATCAATTACATTAATTATGGATAATCTGTAATAAGATAGTGTATTTATCATGAAAAAAACATGTAATCTTTGTGCTTTCACTGCTTGAATACAGGGTTTAAGTTCAGTAATAACAAAACTGGTGTCAATCACTTGATCTTAGTCAATGGTTTTCTTTTCAAACTTGTGTCTGTGAAATAGTCTCAGGCGTGCCTCAGCACATGTAGAAATATTCTTCCCTGATGCCAGTATAAACTATTTGTGACAAAATTTTCATTTATTGCAATAAATATGATTACACAACATTGCTTATGCTTGAGATATTTTTTCACAGAACAAATTGCAATGAAAGTCAAGGAAACCCAGAGTGTCTTAAGTCTTCAGAAGCCTCAAAATAAAAAATCTGTGAACATTTGCTCTAAGTTATGTTGTGTAATATAATATAGATGAGAGTAATGGTATAATGAATTTAAAAAAGTCCTACCATTCTTCTTTTTTTAGTTTGGATATGATTATAATAAGTAATGTGCTGAATAATATACTTTTACTGCTTAAGTACTATATGTTGGTTTTACGATATAAAATTTTGCTTCCCTGAAAGTTTGTTCCTTACATCACTATATGACACAATCAAAATACGTCAAATTTTTACCTTAAAACTTACCTCTAGCCTGTCTATCTTGATTGTAGCATAATGACCATGTGTCTTCCATTTTGTTTTCTCAGAAATTTTTAACCCTGTACCAATCAGATTAATGGAAAAAGTACCTTGGGGACAAGGAACACGGCTGTAACAGTCTCCAGCCTCCCCAAAGTTGACTGGATATCCACGATGAGTGGTCGAAAATGTGAAATCATCAGCTAGCAAAAAAAAAATCTCACAAGTCTAAGGGAAATTACTCTAATTAAAAACACATTAGAATATAAATAAGAAATAATTGCATAGATATATTTACAATAACTATTTTCTCTTTTATAGGGATTTTTCTTCTTTTTTTTTGCAATTTCTCAATATTAGGTTAAAACATAGATAATCTAAGTACTTTATATAATCTAAAATTTAAATTAATTGCACATTTGGAAGCATCTCTGAAATTTGATGAACGAAGTTCATATATCTGTACAAGAAAATATAAAATATTTAAAAGAAGATGCTTAAGCCACATGACCTAACTTTTCATCTTAACTTCCATTATGATGTCATTTAGTTTCCAGTTTGGAATACCAAAGAAAAGAAACATAAGCTATGTCAATACCATTAACAGAAAGTTATATGTATTGCTAAATTTCTCATTAAAGTTTAGTGGATAAACAACAGAATAAGTATTTCTAACTTATGTCTACAAAACTGATTTTATATCTTAGTTTGTTAAAAAAGGATATATTTTACTATAAGAAAACTATACAAAACTGATTTTATATCTTAGTTTGTTAAAAAAGGATATATTTTACTATAAGAAAACTATACAAAACTGATTTTATATCTTAGTTTGTTAAAAAAGGATATATTTTACTATAAGCAACCTACTTAAATTATATAGAGCACATTCTTTTTTATCCTGATTTAGTGTATTCAGTGACAATTTTCTAAATGTTAGACTGTCTTTTAAAATGAATATTGTCAAGCATATCTTGGAGAGGTATTAAATCTGTTTCTTGCATTTATCATTTAATGTTAATTAATAGATGATTTTTCAATTTTAAGTTATTTTGAACTCAACTTCACAAATTTCAAACATAAGCAAAACTTATATGTCATACACATACATTTCTTAATAAAGTGCATTAATAAAATAAAGGTTCAATAATAAATAATTTGTTTTAAGGTTTTCTTTTACAAATACAGATGTTACATTTTCCAAATACAAACAAAAATTCCTAAGTTGGTACTCAAGTTTGCTTTATTGTTTAGAGAGGAGATAAAGTCCCTACTTACTCAAGACTTGAGACTCGTAATATTTACTGCTACGTAACTGAAGGTTATATAACCAGCTCCCTCCTCCATTCTTCAAAACATGGACAATATAGAAATGCTAAGTCCATACTTACTCAACGCTTGAAGACTGGTAATATTTACTGCTATGTATCTGAAGGTTATATAACCAGTTCCCTCAGGTATTCTTCGAGATATGAACAAAACAGAAATGCTAAGTCCATACTTACTCAACACTTGAAGACTGGTAATATTTACTGCTATGTAACTGAAGGTTATATAACCAGCTCCCTCAGCTATTCTTCGATACATGAACAAAACAGAAATGCTAAGTCTCTACTTACTCAACACTTGAAGACTGGTAATATTTACTGCTATGTATGTGAAGGTTGTATAACCAGCTCCCATCCTCCATTCTTCAACACATGGACAAAATTTATGACGTGCTCCACTATAAGGGCATGATTCAGGCTCAATTAATCTAAAACAAGGAAAGACTACACATAAATGTCAGCTACTAAAAACTAGAGAAAATATCAGAAAAATTAGTTACTGTTAGTTATATACATACGAACAGATCCATTATAATAATCCATATTAAATTATGCATATATATATACTTACAGTGCCTTGCAAAAGTCTTTACCCTCCTATGTTGGTAATAAATTTTAGTTATTTTCTTGTGAAAGACATAACTCAAATGGCCAAAACTATTTATTATGTTAATCTCAGACCAGTTTCTAAAAGGTGCATTATTACCCAATTTAATGATGTAACACCAAAAAATCTAGAAAACACATGTTGCAAAAGTCTTCAACTCCCTCAGCTTTTACCATCGTTGATTTAACTTTACGTCACTACCCTGCAAAAGTAAATACAAGTGAATGGTCTAAAACGGCTAGATCAACTTTCAGAATTTAAAAATCCTTTCTGGTCACAGAGAAATAGATGAAAACGATCTGCCTCTTCCTTCTTTTATTTTACTG